GTGTGTGTGTATGTGTATAATTTCCTAGGTTTTTAAAAAAGAAAACTAAAAAACCAAATTCCATCCTGTGGCAGCATATTGAAACCCACATGGGTCATCAGTAGCATTGCAACCTTTAGATCCACCACTCGACTTCTGCCACATGAGCCAATAAAGTAACTGATTGTAGTAGTAGGTTGTCTTCCTCTGTGTGGACCATGAAGTGGGATGAAACACTTGCCTCTCCACCCCGGCAACTGGCTCCAAGTCCCCCTCCCATTTCCTTCACTGGTTCCCAGTCTTTCCATCACCCAATCCTAGTCTCCTTGACCAGACAGCTTCTTCAAAGATGACATGGCAAAGTTTAGGATTCGTTTGCTTGCGTTTTATTCTTCTGATCCACTGGGGAGTTCAAGAAGAATAAAATAAAAATCTCTCTCAGATGCATGCACTTGCTCATGCCATGTCATCTACTTCCCTTCTGCAGTTCCAAATGCGTGTTTTAGAGAAAAGAGGAGATTCGCAGCCTTTCATTTTACAGCTGTGTGAACTCAACAATTTATTTAATTCTACTTTATAATACATTTTACTTGATACCATGTAAAAGAAATAATCTGGCAAAGAATCATTAAACGGTTTAATACGTCTAGATGACTCACTTTGTTTGAACAAATGGATTATTTTGCAAGCAGAAGTACAAATGTTAACCAGCTTTATTTTTAGTTTAAAATGTCAAGAGGTCAGAAACCATTAAAGCCACTGTAAGGTGGGAGTCACCATGGTTTGTGTTCTCTTGGATTGACACCTTACTAAAATTGCTTTTATTGCAGCTTAGTGACTTACTAGCATTTTTCTGATAAGATAACAGGAATGACTGGGTAGGCATATTTCCTGGTAAAAAGAGATATGGGAAATTAAAGCTCCATAGAAAATGGTACAAGCTTTTCATTTTAGCAGAACAAGAGCTGGAAATGCTAAGAAAAAAACCCTGCTACTTTCTTACCCAACCGTAACGTGTAAATGATCATCTTTTGAAAAGTAATGTTGGAGTAAAAGCCGCTGTAAGACTTTGTCAGGTCAAAGTTCAGTGGTTAGGTGGTTTGGGAGTAACAGCGTCAGGTACATGTAATTTAGTGTGGAGCTAATTATACTTTTAAAAAAAGACAACGTGATGTAAAATGAAAAAGACAACTAGATCCAGCACAGCAACATGGCTGCTCTGGATAGAAATGGGTCAGCATTTGAATGGCACCATACTCAGGGGCAAATCTGTCCCCAGCATAGTTAGAGGAAATGGGTTGTGTGCTGGAGAAGTGCCAGAGGAACCGGGGAAAGGGTTGCCTGGTT